AAAAAAAAAAAAAAAAAAAAAACCTCCTCCTACAGAAAAGCCTTCGTTGCTGATCACGGCCCTTCTCTCTTCGCCTCCTCCCACCTCATCCTCCTCCACATCTCTCTCCTGCGCGAGGAAGGGGGATAGGGGGGAGGGGGGAGGAGGGGTGGAACGAGTCTTTCACGTGTAGAAGAAAGAATGACGCTGTAGTTGGGAAAAAAAGGAGGCCGAGGAGAAAACAAATACTGTAACAACTCATCACTCCCCTCCTCCTCTCTTCCTCCTCCTCCTCTCTTCCTCCTCCTCTCCTCCTCCTCTCCTCCTCCTTCTCCCTTTCTCCTCCTCTTCCTCCTCCTCTTTTCCTCCTCTCTCCCTCCTCTCTCTCGATCGCTCCTTACTCCCTTTGCTCCGCCTCCTCCTCTCTGCCTCCTCCTCTCTTCCTCCTCTCTCCCTCCTCTCTCGCTATCGCTCGTTACTCCCTTTGCTCTGCCTCCTCCTCTCTTCCTCGTCTCTCTTTATCGCCCCTTACTGCCAACGCTCCTGCCACACATTTCCCGAAAAACACTCCGCCTACTCCTTCTCCTCCTCCTCATCTGCCTGCGGCCACGTTTTTTCCCGCCAAATCAACCTTCTCCTTTCCCGCCAAATCAACCTTCTCCTTTTCCCGCCAAATCAACCTTCTCCTTTTCCCGCCTACACGCGCTTCTCTACTCCCTCCCATCTGTCTCCTGCACCGTAGGACCTAGCTCCCCTACTCACCAAATAAGAGAAGTGGAGAATGTACCTTTCCGTTGAAACTGGAAATATACACTCGCCTTTTTTTTAGATTCGAGGAGTACCGGAGTTGAGGCTCTTACTCCTCTCATCATACTACCTCTCTCACCGCTGTGTATTACGATGGGTCACAGCGCGCCGCCTACTGGGGAAGAAATGCGCATACCCACGATCAAGCGGAAAGCGACACGCGGGAAAAATGATGCGGCAGGGGAGAGACTCTCTCTCTCTCTCTCTCTCTCTCTCTCTCTCTCTCTCTCTCTTTCTGTGTTAACCTTGCCGCACTTCTCACCAAACGTGTCAAATGGAGAATGTATCTTCCGCTACACGTGGAGAGATACACTCGCCATAGTTTGTCTTTTTCACATTCGTTGAGTGGTGCCGCGAGGTTCTCTCTCTCTCTCTCTCTCTCTCTCTCTCTCTCTCTCTCTCTCTCTCTCTCTCTCTCTCTCTCTCTCTC